TCGTATTTGGTAACGTTTGAAAAAGGGCATTTCATTGCGGTCAGTTTAACACCATTGTCATATGCGCGCAAAGTGAAGTAAACTCATCATTTTTGAAGAAAAAAATAATTTCAGAAAAATACTTAATGTACTTTGTATTATTATTAAAAAAAAAACTGTGTACTTACATGAATGCAGAAGAAAAAAAAAAAAAAAATATATGTTTTGCAAAATCGTTTAGCGTTAGTTCATATATTTGTCTATTCGGCATATCTTGAGGTATCTCAATCCTAAAAGGGTACTGGTTTGGTCAGGCACTATGGAGCTACGGCCACAGAAAAAAAAGCCATTTTCAGATCCTTAGAGGGCGCTAATTATATCATGCGTGACCATTGGAGCATGCAATTCGACAGGGATGTGTGCTATGACACAATCAACATACTGTGCAGATTAAAGAAGAATGGAATTCGTATGGAAGGCACTGGAATTTACGTTTTTTAAGGGGTCAATTTTTAAAGAATTTTTGTGATTTTTGACGGAGTCGATTTCGGATTTGAATTTCGAGTATGAAGATATCATTTTTGATGAGCGAATTACCATCGCTGATGAAAGAACATCTTTTAGACTATCTAGAGCAATTTATTAGAAGTCTGTAGCATCAAGGATAGTAGAGATACGAATGAAGAAGGAAAGGCCTTAAAACTGACCAGAAACGGAAAAATTGGCGCATGGACGGTTACTTTTGAGTGATGTCGGAAAACGAAGAGTCAGGTGACCTAGATTGGATGACGGAGATTATGCCAATATATTCAAAAGGAATCGGGCAAAATAAAAGGACCTAGATATGAATAACAATCACTGCATGCAAAACAAATGAGATAGATAGAACGCGAACAAGAACAAGACATCGGCGAAAGTCGTCAAAGTAAAGAACAAAGCAGTGACGAAAGTCGTCAATGCAATAAGAAGGAATAGAAAATGGCTCAGTTCAATGTTTGGGGGTTCAAACAGATCAAGGCCCCGTCTTACAAAGAGTTGATATTAATCGCACCGTATTTGCGATTGATATCGATTGCAAATGTACATAAAAGCTGGGAGACTGCAAATTTGCGATTGATTGGTGGACTTGCGATTGATTTGGATCAATCGCAACTCTTTGTAAGACGGGGCCCTGATCCAAGCAGTTAGTAGCTCCCCATTTATGGTAGACAAATCTGGCTTGCATTCAATTTGTTATCTGTTTAAAGGAAAAAAGAATGCAGCTGTCAGGTTCATGAAGTTTTCCCTTTATTTTCCACCTGTGCACAAGTTGTAAGTGATTAACTTCGGCTTTTTGTTTTGACTCTGCTTTGATCATTACAACTCGCACAAGTAAGCAGCAGACAATGCCTCAAAAAGTAAACTCACTTAGCTTAACTATGGCTGGTTGTGAAGTTTGAGTTGACCAGAATAGTCCGGCAGCCAAATCCAGATTATTGGCCTAACCTTGTTTTAGGGTCTACAAATTATTTTTTCTTTAATGGATTATGATTGCCTAAACCTTATATATGAATAATCCGATTGCTGACACTCTCTATTGATTCATACAAAGCGACCGCCAAAGTACATGAATTTTTTTCTCCAAAAAAAGTGTAAAATAGATAATTATATAGTAATATTTTTTCTACATTTTGGGGCAGCCAAATGTTAGCATCTCTTGAGGACCATCATTGAAAATTGTTTCGGGATATAATTGTATGGCCATAAATGACAAGCAACCTAGCATAATGATGTTGAAATAGCACCCTCTATATATAAACATGTTATTTTGCTCAAAATATTTGTGCCAGCCAAATGCCAATGTCTTAGATCTACGTCGAGTTAAATACAAATGTTATTCTTTGTATGGAACATTTACGATTGTGCTGCATTCATCTTCCATCCTTTTTGGTCGAAATTTAGTTACAGTTATGAAAGAAATAAGAAGTCCTATAAAATAATATATTTTCCCGTCAAATCAGTGTGAAGTGGTTTTACGGCTCACATTAGTGTTCCATTGGTAGGCTTTATCAGCATTGCTCTGTCATCAGTGAATGTGGATATAGCACTTGACATCGGTACCAGACAGATGCATGAGTTTTAACAGAAATTACGTGGTGGATTCTATGATACAATTTCCGAGAAAGTTGAAACCATGAAGAAGTCAATTGATTTTGGGGTTACTTAAGTCTATGACACTGAGTTGATCTACTCCAGAGTAATATGTAAATGATAAAAACCTAGCTTCAATAGCGCTTTTCATCTTCAGAGAAAATATGAATTCGCTTTACAGTAATAACACTACAATATAACAGATATGACTTCTAATTCATGAAGTAAAGAAATATCAAAATAAGGGCAAAATTATTCATAATCAATCATTATCAACATCAATTACAGAGAAATGAAACCAAATTATGACAAGTACAGTAATGTTGTTCCATTTTGATGAAATACAATACTAGTAAGCGGGTCAATAATACAGTTTGAATAAGATTAGAAAGCGTTTTTGAACAAGTAAAGTTTCAGATGAGAATCGGGAGAACCTTCTGGATTCGTATGACTTTGTCCTGTTGTTCGAGGTGTTGAGATACAGAGCGGATGTATCGAATGGGTACGTAAGGTGTAACACGTTCAGATATGTACCTGGGACAGAGTTGATGAAGTGCTCTGAAAGTTAGAATATGACGTTGTACTGGATTCCCTGGGATACGGGCAGTCAATGTAGTTCCTGTAGAGTGGGAATTATGCGCTAGATCTTGATTTGGTAATTTAGAAACTAGTCTGGCAGCTGAATATTGAACTCGCTGAAGGTTGGCGATGTCTTTATTGAATTACAAAATAAAAAATAAATCACACCAAAATGTGGAGCCAGTTTTCACTCATTGTATCCCGTGCATCTGACTAATGGAAAATGCTAATTTTTATGTTAGAAATTATCAGTTGGCCATCCTTTTGAATTATGCAAGTTAACTTGTCTATATAAGGCGCCATTCCAAATTATGCACATTTGCATATCATTTGTGATCATACAACAACGCCTATTTGTATTATGTGATGATCCTAGACGAAAATCAAGATATTTGACTCCGATTTAATGTAGACAAACGTTGCAAGCACTTTTTTCTCACTCTGTCTATCTGTCTAAGTATCTTCTCCCGGCTTGAAGGTTGATTGCAAAATCTCTCCATTATTTTCATTCTATCTTCTGTCATTCTGGTGCATTCTTGCAGTTTTCGTCCACTCCAGCCCTTGACATTCTTCTACCAGTTGATTATGGGTTTCCCTCTCGGTCTAGCTCCTTCTACTCTTCCCTCCAAGATATCTTTTAAGAGGTATTTGGTGCCTTTTAACATGACCGAAGTATTTATATTTTCTCTCCTTAACTTATCCAGTGCAGTTTGTTTACGCCCTGCCATGTGCAATATCTCTCTGTTGGTTTTATTTTGGTTCCTGGATATGTTCATCATTCTTCTGTAAATCCACATTTGAAAATATGTTAATCTATTTTCCATGGCCCTGTTTATTTGCCATGTTTCTGCTCCATACAATAGGATAGACCATACATACCACTTTTGTAGTCTTAACCTAAGCTCAAAGTTCACCTTTCTATCTGTGACTAAGTATTTCATTGCCAGAAATGTATTCCGTGCCATTTATTTTCTTCTTTTTATTTCTGCTTCGCTTCTGTCATATTCTGTAATATTTTTCCTAAGTAGATGTAAGTATTGGCCTGCTCAATGATATGTCCATTTAGTTTCAAACAGTTTCTAGGCTTATTCTCTGTTCCACTAAAAAATAATAGACTGGGTTGTCTTGACATTAATGCATATGCCAAACTCTTCACTTTTGAATTGTACAACATCCAATACATGTTGTAAATCTGCTTCATTCTCTACGCAAATAACAGTGCCATCAGTATAACGTAAATAATTAATATTTACATCCCACTACCAACACCTTTTATATCTGAATTTTCCCCGAATATCAGCCCTGTGCACAAGTTGAACAGAGATGGGGACATTACGCATCCCTGGCCTACTCCTCTTTAGACTGTTGTGTAACCTGTAATTTCTTTGTTTTTAATGGCAGCTGTCTGCTCCCGATACAGTTTAGATATGAGAGGTTTGTTCTAACCATCCAGATTAATTTGTTGTAAGCTTTCAATCTCTTTATCGTGGTAAATGTTGTCGAATGCTTTAGATTAGTCAATAAGGCACACATGTATCTCTTTGTTTACTGCAATATACCTTTATGTCATCATTCCCATACAAAATATGGCTTCTCTAGTTCCACTTTGAGGTCTGAAACCAAACATTTCCTTTCTAACTTCATTATCAATTTGAATTTGTTTTCACTAATTTTGGATAAAAAGGGAATGTTGGCCGTCATTTTGTGTGACGTCACATATCTCAAATTGCTAAATGCTGACAGAGTGTCAGCAATAGGATTCTTCAAATCGTTGCGGTCTGACTGATCAGCTCCTCATGATTATCATTTGGTTTCCATTGATTTCCATGCAGACATAGTAATTCTTTGAGGTTCCCTGTCTCCGATTTAAACGGCTGGTCTAATGTCCTATCATGGTCACCTGTAATGGGAAATATTTATTAAAAAGTATCAAATAAAATCAGCAAATAATTCCACCCCCCCCCCCCTTCACTAGAGGGCGACCAAGAGCAAGAAAGACACCCCCGAAATATATCTAGTCTACAAAGACGGCATATATTCGAAAAAACAACATATGATTTCAAAAAGTTATCTTTTGTTGCGGCAGATTCAAGACAATATCCATGATCGTCCACCTTATATTCTGTCTGAATTTTGTATTAACGGATAAGGTTGATAATCCGTTGATAAATATAAACAAACATATAATATAATTAGGAATTCCAATTTAAGAAGAGCATACACAAAGAACAAAATAATAACCATTGCTAATAATCATATTAAAATCAAGTAAACGTGTTTTGTTAATGTTGTTTTTTTAAATTAATTTACAGCATAATACTATACTCCGATGGCAAAATGAGTTCCAACACCAACGATGTTTTCGAAGGTATTTTGATGAAGATAGCTAAGCAAATATACGGGAAGGAAGTCGTCAATGAGTTAGGAAAGAAACTAGGATTCAATCCTGCAGATATCGCTCGCTTCAATGAAGCAAACGCCCAACAAGGGTGCTCATACATGGGCACTCTGGATATGCTTCGAACTTGGCATCAAGGGCAAACAAGGGCTGAGCGAAGGGAAAATTTGAAAGCTGCATTGGAAGGAGCCGGCTATCGCCTCTTGGCAGACACATACTTTTCTGATGATGATTTAGGTATGTAACACTGTTAAATTGTCAATTGATACAATTTTGTATATGAATACGGATCGATTAATTTACTCACTTTAGTACTGTTAAAGGTACTATGTCCCATTTGTAGGCCAACAAATGAAAAGCTTAAATTCCAACGGCATTTCAAAGATAATACTAATTTAGAACTTCCCTAAAACAAAGGGGGCTTGGAAATGTCTTTAAGTGGGAAAATAACGACTATTAGTTGTCGAATCGACTTAAGAGCTATAGAGCTAGCAAGTAATAGTCTGATTTTCAGACCATTGTACCGAATATTCGTACGTTTTATGCTGCGCAATGATTCAATCAGTATAATTTTGACCATTACAAGAAGTGGGTTATTGATGTAGACAATTACTCATGTACCCTTTACAGCTCACTTTATGTATGTCATTGCGTATGTCATTATGTATGTCATTACCAAAGAAGAATTTAAAAAAGATACTCAGTAACTCAATAGTGTCTGACAGTGAAGTCTAGCAAGTAGAAGGGATTACCCTGCATAATTTGAATATTATGACACTGCTAACGTTTACATTTCACAGGTAGGACATACATGACATATTCATAATTCCTGCAAAGTTCTATATAATTTGATGTTGGCTGCAAAAGGGACATAGTATCTTCAAAGAGTGAGAACAAAAAATCGTATGTACAATTATGAGACTTGCAGGTATGGAGAATTTGCCATTGATAATTATGTTAATTCATCGATTAAATGGCAGCATATAAAGAGGGCGCCCCCTGGAGTCATAATGAAAGTCAATAATGGCCGCCATTTGAGCTACTGGATTAATACAATAAAGAGCTTCCTATGATTGTGGGATTAACAGGTCAGGATAATCATATTGTTACGTTATTCTTTTGAATATAAATCAGGTATAATTACCCCCTCGAAAAACTACCCCCAAAGAAAATTACCCCTCCCCGGAAAATTACCCCCCGAGGACAATTACCCCCCGATGACAACTACCCCCGAGGATAATTACCCCCCGCGCCCCCAGGACAACTAACCCCCGTAGACAATTATGATTCAATAGCAAAAGACGATCCGCTACATTACGAGATGGCTACGAGCTCAAAAGATTCCATCTGCAGGAACCCCTATTTGTTCAAATACTATAGTCCGTTATTTCCCTCATTACTACACATTTCCCTCTAGTTATAAATTATGCAACGCTAGTGCGGTTGCTGATTTCCATGAGGGATGTGAGTTGTAGGTAATTGTCCACCACTTCTCAAAATGCATAGAAATACATTTCTCTGGAGTAGCGTTATTTCAACTTTTTGTAAGTCACGGGACCCTCTAAAGATTGAAACTTTCTCCCAAATCCCAAAGTTTTCATTGACTATTTTTTTTTGCATGACTCTCGCACTCGTCAAGTGCTATGTACACACGTATGGGCACATTTAAAAATAAAAAATAAGAAGATATTTTCAAACTGGTAAAAAAAATTAGTTCGTAATCAACACACTAGAAACATTTTAAAGTACTGTATGCGGGCACCTTGCCGCCGAATGCACATGAATAAAGAGTGATGTATTCGGTCATGACCTACGAATATGAAGATATTCGGGCTTCTCGTTGACCTTGTTTATCATGTTTTTAAATGTAATGAGTGTGGTAACAAAGTAATCTCGAAATAAAAGATTTAATATATATTCGGGCGCGGCCTAGCTGTCAAAATATTGTCAGTGAGCGAGGAAGAAAAACACTTTATTATTTTTAAAATTTTATTTTCTCATATAATTACATACTCTAACCTTTTCTGATATTTAATATTTAAAAAAATCAACGTTTTCCAAGTGAACTAACATTCTCTTGCGACACCCTGTTTGAAAAACGCTCATATGGAAACGTTGCATCATCCGCTCAATCTGACTTGCGTGCATAGAACAAATAAGCATTTTTCCATGAAAAAGTGAAGTTTTCTAAAATGTGCGTTTCTTTCCAGCATTGGGGCGCCCGGAAGTCACTCGGGTAACATTTCATAAAGTATAATATAAAAAGACCATATGCAAATTTCCTGTACTTTTGTCGGAAAAAATACATTTATCCAGCACAATGTCGTCTCTTTTTGCATTGGAGAAGAGCATATAGCGAGCTTCAATCACACTTTGGCCGCTCTCGCCAGCTCTCACTCGTTTCACTGTGGTCAAGAGACTTTGGGGCAAGCGGTTAATGAAAATACTAATCGTTAGCTTTTTTCTGGTATCAAACTTGTTTTGATTGATTGTATAATTTTGTCGGAATAAAGGAAACAAAAAGGCTCGACAAATAACTTATCAGCGTCTGAATTGACGTTTTTACCTTGAATTCCCTGATGCAAGCGCACTAATGACGTCATCTTCGCTAAATCGGTGTCTTTTATCGTAAAATGCGACACTTTCACAATGTTTAAACATCTTTTTTAATTATTAGTAAGATATAACATATTTTTTCTGATATCACTGAAGTTTTGGGTTTTATTTAATGAGTAATTTTAAAATAAGAGCCATTTTACTGTTTTAATTTACTGGATCGTACCATTAAAGTCGCAGGGTAGAAAGATGCATTTTCCAACCTTGCCAAATTTAATTTACGTTCCGACATTCTGTTAAATGGGTACGTGTTGTTAAGAATCCACTGCTTTCTGCTCCAACAAACGTCCACATGCGGAGTCGTTTATCAACTAAATTATTCAAATTTATGGATGCTTCCTAGCTTTCCAGGTGTTTGTGTTGCTGTTGAAGCATTTCATTCACCTGCTATCATTCTTTGTACTGCAATTGTCAGAACGCAAAATGCATTTTGGTTTTATAGTTTCATGCAATAAGTAAGTCAATAAAAGAGTATGTTCTGCACAATAAAAACAATGTGTGTCCCTATTGTACAATGTAATGTGTCCCCTCATTTTGTAATAGTTAATTTACCCATTCACATAATGGAACTACCTGCCCGATGAAGCCAGTGGCCTGTGACCCCTGAGCACTCAACACCGTGTGGGAGTCAGTTCGTGGTCAAATTCTTTTATGAGACAAATACAAGCAAACGTTTCCATATGGCGCAGGAGTTAAAAATCAAAAGAGATGAATTATCAGAGAGCGGATATTTATTTTCTTAGAACACGGCACCGTACATATAACTTGAAAGCAATTTCTATTTCAAAATAATTTACCGTACAATGGCATATTATACTTCAGCATGACAACAGTAATATATAGATAACGTGAAGGAAACCTTAATTTTGGATCATGGATGAGGGCCCATTATACATACGAAGACAAATACACGATCAGCTGATTTAAAAAGTTGCAGAGGATGCATCAATGATATCTTACATCCTAATTTCTTTGTTGTGCAATATATTGTCAAATTTCAAAGAAATGTAATTTCTGTTCTTTACCGGTGGCAAACCTACGGGGGATTTAGGCAACCTTCACCCCCCCCCCCCCCCAAAAAAAAAAAAATATATATATATAATAAATAAAAAAATGAATTGAATAATTTGAAAAGACTGAAATGAACTTCATAAATAACGAAGAAAGTAAAATTTTATGCAATTTTCTGTAAATAGCAATTTGGAAAGAAGCTCGCATTATTTGTCACAGTGTTACAAATTCCTCGGAGTGATTGTCCTGGGAGTTAGTTGTCCTCGGGGGTAGTTATCCTCGGGGTGGTTGTCCTCGGTAGGTAATTGTCCTCGGGAGTAGTTGTCCTCGGGGGGTAATTGTCCTCAGTGTTAGTTGTCCTCGGGGTAGTTTTCCGGGAGGTGATTTTCCGGGGGGGGTGATTGCCCAGGGGGCAATTTTCCTGATAACCTAGAAAAATAACAGTGCTCATAATTGTTGAGTTCTCAGGTAAAGGATTGACGAAAGGCGTCGTTTGTTGCATACTAATTTCTAGAAAGTTAAACAGCCATCATCTCGGAGGCCATCTTAGATTTCTGAATGAGAAATAAAAACTGATTACATTATTCTGACGTTTCTTAGTCAGCAAAACAGTGTGGAAAGAACGTTTCCCTCAAAACGGTGCTTCCTGTCACCATTTTACTTTTATTTCTTTATTTTATTTTTCCGAAATTTGTATTTCCCACATTTATTCGCACAAAGTAGACTCTTTAGCCAGTAAACAAAAAGTAGGAGTTAATATTTCTTAGAAATTATCTCACTGTAATTTCGGATTAGGAAAGTAGTGATTTCGTCAAAATAAAATCCCCGTTGTTTTGCCTTACGCAAATCCCCTTGGTCCCGCGTAAACTGAGATGCCTAGCTGAACCTTAGGTTTTGTCAATGCCCTATACCAGCTAATGATCATTAGGCCTTCACTGCCGATGTTTAAGTATACCAAACGAAAACTGTTAGTGTCCACATTGTACTTATGACCCATTATACTTTACGTTGTATAGTGCATCGTTAAACACACGTTTCACAATAAATTGAATCACGTTTCTGGCCCATATCAAAACGGCGTTTCTAAAGACATATGAAACTGTGTTTGCGTTTATCAACTTGCAAATTTGCCTGAATAAATGATTGAATTTGCTTACGAGCATATACTAATGAAATAGGCTCATAAATTATTTCCCTCTTGAAAAGATTATTAGAGAGACTTTTTTCAAGGTAGTTAACGTCTACTATCATATCATTAACCGATATGGCTGAAACACAAAACTTAAAAATTGTATCATCAAAATCTTTATTTAACACTTTCTAAATTTACGCCAATTTGAAAAGTGTAGAGTTAAAAAGTGTGTGACGTGACATGTGCTGACCTTGGAGATTTCCTTCTTCCTTCTTTCTCAGCCTATGTTGACTATATACTCTGAATCATACTGGAATAGGACACTATAAAGCTTCCACCCCACATTTGAATTACATTATGTTAAAAGTTTACATCTATTTAATCGACTATTTTTTCCCTGCAGGTACCAGTCTGATAATATAATCAATGCAAACTTTATTTTGT